TAGTAGTAGTAGTAGTAGTAGTAGTAGTAGTAGTAGTAGTAGTAGTAGTAGTAACAGTAACAGTAGTAGTAGTTGTAGTTGTAGTTGTAGTAGTAGTAGTAGTAGTAGTAGTAGTAGTAGTAGCAGCAGCATTAGTAGTAGTAGTAGCAGCAGCAGTAGTAGTCATAGTAAGAGTAGGAATTGTAGTAGCAGCAGTAGCAGGATTTGTAGCAGCAGTAGTAGTAGTTGTTGTTTTGTAGTAGTAATATTACAAGTAGTTGTAGTAGTCGTAGTTGTATGTGTAGTAGTAGTAGTAGCAGTAGTAGTAGTAGTAGTAGTCGTCGTAGTAGTCGTAGTAGTCGTAGTAGTAGCAGTAGTAGTAGTAGTAGTAGTAGTAGTAGTAGTAGTAGTAGTAGTAGTTAGGAGTTCTAGTAGTAGTAGTAGTAGTAGTAGTAGTAGTAGTAGTAGTAGTAGTAGTAGTAGTAGTATAGTATAGTTGTAGTAGTAGTCGTCGTCGTTGTCGTCGTCTTCCTCGTCGTCGTCGTTGTAGTGGTAGTGGTAGTAGTAGTAGTAGTGGTAGTCTACGTAGTCGTCGTAGTCGTCGTAGTCGTCGTAGTCGTAGCCGTCGTAGTAGTAGTAGTAGTAGTAGTAGTAGTAGTAGTAGTAGTAGTAGTCGTAGTAGTAGTAGTAGTAGTAGTAGTAGTAGTAGTAGTAGTAGTAGTAGGAGTTGTAGTAGTAGTAGCAGCAGTCGGCGTAGTAGTAGTGGTAATAGTATTCGTAGTTGTTTTAATAGTTGTAGTAGTCTTAGTCGTAGTAGTCGCAGTAGTAGTAGTAGTAGTAGTAGTAGTAGTAGTAGCAGCAGGAGTAGTAGTAGTAGTAGTAGTAGCAGTAGCAGTCGTACGAGTAGTAGTCGTAGTAGTTGTTGTAGTAGTAGTACCAGGAGTAGAAGTAGTAGTATGAGCAGTAGTAGTAGTGGTAGCTGTAGTAGTGGCAGTAGTAGCAGTATTACTAGTCGTAGTAATCGTAGCAGTTGTGGTAGTGGTGGTAGTAGTAGTAGTAGTAGTAGTAGTAGTGGCAGTGGAGTGGTAGTAGTTGTGGCTGTAGTGGTAGTCGTTGGGGTAGTCGTAATTGTAGTAGTCGTCGTAGTAGTAGTCGTAGTAGAAGTAGTACTACTAGTATTTGTAGTAGGAGTAGTAGTAGTAGTAGTAGTAGTAGTAGTAGTAGTAGTAGTAATCGTATTAGTAGTAGTACTTGTAGGAGTAGTAGTAGTAGTAGTAGTAGTAGTAGTAGTAGTAGTAGTAGTAGTAGTCGCAGTCATAGTCGTAGTCGTAGTAGTTGTAGTAGTCGTAGTCGTAGTAGTAGTCGTAGTCGTCGTCGTCGTCGTCGTCGTTGTAGTAGTAGCAGTAGTAATAGTTGTTGCAGTAGTCGTAGTAGTAGTAGTAGTAGTAAAAGTAGTAGTAGTAGTAGTAGTAGTAGTAGTAATAGTAGTAGAGTAGTAGTAGTAGTAGTAGTAAGAGTAGTAGTAGTAGTAGTAGTAGTAGTAGTAGTAGTATAGTAGTAGTAGTAGTAGTAAAAATAATAGTAGTAGTAGTAGTAGTAGTAGTAGTAGTAGTAGTAGTAGTAGTAGTAGTAGTAGTAGTAGTAGTAGTAGTAGTAGTAGTAGTAGTAGTAGCAGCAGTAGTAGTAGTAGTAGTAGTAGTAGTAGTAGTAGTAGTAGTAGTAGTAGTAGTAGTAGTAGTAGTAGTAGTGTGGTAGTGGTAGTGGTAGTGGTAGTGGTAGTGGTAGTGGAGTGGTAGTAGTAGTCGTCGTCGTCGTCGTAGTAGTAGTAGTAGTAGTAGTAGTGGCAGGAGCAGGAGTAGGAGTAGTAGTAGTAGTAGTAGTAGCAGCAGTAGTAGTAATAGTAGTAGTAGTAGTAGTAGTAGTAGTCGTCGTCGTAGTAGTAGTAGGACTAGTAGTAGTAGTAGTAGTAGTAGTAGTAGTAGTAGTAGTAGTAGTAGCAGTAGTAGTAGCAGTAGTAGTAGCAGTAGTAGTAGTAGTAGTAGTAGTAGCAACAGCAGTAGTAGTAGATGGAGGAGGAGGAGGAGGAGCGCCGGTTTTCTCGACCTTTTCCGCCCCTCCTTCCTCTACATACACCGCCTCCCTGTCCTTCCCACACCCATGTTCCGCCTATCTCCTCGACCTCCCCTTGCTCATCCTCAGCCTCATCCGCGACCCCCTCGACCTCATCATCATCCCCTCCATCCTCCTCGTGAACAACTTGTTCCTCCGCCTCCCTGCTGCTCCTCCTCAACCTCCACGACCACCAGGACGATGACCGCGATAACGACGATGCGCCTCCCCGCGCGCGCGGAGAGAACGTGCAGTGGCCCTGCGAGCCAAGACGTTTTCCTCTGTCGGCCTCTCGTCCTCCCTTGATGTCGTCGTTCTCCCTGTCTTTGTCGTCTTCCCTCGTCGTCCTCTTCCTCCTCTTCCTCCTCCTCCTTCCTCCCTTCTCCTCTGCCTTCCTCCTTCTTGCCTCCTCCTCCTCCTCCTCATCTTTCCTCCTCCCCATCCTCATCCTTGCGTATCCTCCTTCCGCGAGGGGCACGTGACGACCGAAGATCGCGACCGAGAGACGATTGACCGACGATGACCACGACGACGACGACGCCTCCGCGGAGAGGCCGGGCAGTGGCTCTGCGAGCCGGTGCTCTGGATCCGGTGGCGTCACGCCGGCCAGCTGATTGTGGCGACCTCGGCCCTCGGCCAGCTCGGCCCGTGCTCGCCGCTTCGCCGTCGCCGTCGCCGTCCGTCGTCGACGTCGTCGTCGTCGTCTTCGTCGTCGTTGTCGGCGTCGGCGTCGTTGTCGGCGTCGGCGTCGGCGTCGGCGTCGTCGTCGTCGTTGTCGGCGTCGGCGTCGGCGTCGGCGTCGGCGTCGGCGTCGTCGGCGTTGGCGTCGGCGTCGTCGTCGTCGTCGTCGTTGTCGTCGTCGGCGTCGGCGTCGGCGTCGGCGTTGGCGTAGGCGTTGTCGTCGTCGTCGTCGTCGTCGTCGTCGTCGTTGTCGGCGTCGGCGTCGGCGTCGGCGTCGGCGTCGGCGTCGGCGTTGTCGTCGTCGTAGTAGTCGTCGTCGTCGTTGTCGTCGTCGTCGTCGTCGGCGTCCGTCGTCGGCGTCGGCGTCGTCGGCGTTGGCGTCGGCGTCGTCGTCGTCGTCGTCGGCGTCGTCGTCGTCTTCGTCGTCGTTGTCCTCGGCGACGGCGTCGTTGTCGTTGTCGTTGTCGTTGTCGGCGTCGGCGTCGGCGTCGGCGTCGTCCTCGTCGTCGTCGTCGTCGTCGTCTTCGTCGGCGTCGGCGTCGGCGTCGGCGTCCGTCGTCGTCGGCGTCGGCGTCCGTCGTCGTCGGGTTCGGATTCGGCGTCGGCGTCGGCGT